CTATTGAGTTTTGAACAGAAACACGTATTTAAGCATGCCTTGTGTTTAAGGGAAAATAATTGATGTGTGAATGGAATCAATCACCTATTAGTAGGAAGGGTGTCAGGATGATATGGGGGGGGTCCACCCTTATAAAGATAAATGTATTAAATTAAGTATTAACTAGTTTGCTGGTGCCATAGAAATATTTCCTTTGGAATTCTGTAAATATCAAATGTTTTCTTAAGCTAAAATTGGTATTTTTCACTTATTAGTTTGGTGTAATATTGACTTTTGAGAAGAATTCCATTTTTACATAATATTGTTATTTAATCACTGATTGAAGCACCATTTCTTAATTTTAAAATATTTTTGTTAATTTCTTTTGTGGTTTTTAAAATTACTTTTTAAATAGTTATCAGACTTCTGTAAGCAGTGTGATTTTTAAACATGTTTGAACAGTAGATTCAGAGTTTTTTAATAGTTTGAAGTACATTATATTACAAACTACAGATTCACTTAAGCTTAAATTTGGTCATAGACTATAAATTGGGAATATTTTTCCTATTTTGGTGGACAATTCTAGTCTATATCCTAAGACAATCATCTTTTTAGGTGTAATATTGTTTATTAAGAATTGGTAATTTCAGGTTTCAGGTTTTTACTTTTTTCATAGGCTTATGATGAAAGTTAATAGGCCAAGTTATTATATCACTTTCAGAATGAGGTATGGAATCATGGCTAGCCTTATAGATCTTCAGTAAATGATATTTAAAATTTTATGTTAGATCACTAATATTCTTTTCTCATTTGAAGCTGTTGTGAATGTCCACTTGTCCATGATTGAAAATTTAGATTTGTAAACATTACAATTTGAACCATAAATTTTCTCAAACATGAGCTCAATATAAATAACCATTACAAAATGTGAAATGATCATATGTAATAATCCCAAAGTACTTCCAAACCATAGAGAAATAACCACTGTATTTTTCAAATCTTATTCCCATCCTCCTTTGCATGCTGTTAATTACTTTTCTAAATTAGAAGTAAGTATTGTGGTATATTAAAAATATTCAGGAAAAAATTGCTTAAAGTGTTTCATCACAATAAGAATTTTTATTACTATTTCCTGAAGAATGTTTCTTTAAACTCTTATTTCTTTATTATATCATTAAAAAGACCTTCTATTGATTCAGTAAAATAATTTAGAACATGATTGTTGTGGCTTTTTATAGTTATCTGGATGCATTCCTTTTGCCACGTAAACCACATGGCTAGTTCTCCAACTTTTTTTTTTTGTTTGCTTGATTTTAATAAAACTTGCTGTTCAACAATCAGAGACCTTTATTTTGGAGGATCCTTTCAGTTGAGGTAGAAAAGTCTTAAATAATAGGAAAGGCAGATAAAATGTCCTAACATTTTCATGGTAGAGTTTACAAGTGAAAGAATTTATCCATATAGGTTATCTTCATCGCCTAGCGCCGGCATAAATGGTGGTTTCATTACTCATTGAATCACATAAAGTAGTTATAAATCATTTTTTGCTTTGCTCTAAAGATTGTTGTAATTTCAGGCCACTTTATTATTTTCTCTAAGCAGTTTCCATTGTAAGGTTGAATTTCCTTAATTATTCAAATTATCACTAAAGGTTAAGATAATCACATAGGAGTTAAAATAAGTTATGTTTGTCTTTTCCCCTGAAAATAATGGTGAACCTATTGTCTACATTATGAATATTAGGCAGAAATGCACTTGTTTAAATCATAGCAGTAATTACATTTGGAAGATATAATTACTTGATTTTCTGGTGGTGTGAAATATTTTTTTAAAAATTGTGCTTGTCTGTAACTGAAATGTTATAAAATTGTAACACTATAGGGATTATAGAGATATATTTATTAGCTCTCCTCAAGAGACTGAAGCACAATAATTTTCATGTAACAATTCCTATCCAAGTGCTGCTAATATGTCCTGCGAACAATGAAGCTATTTGGTTGCCTAGCTATTCACAAATCACTGTAATCCTTGAAACATAGTGTTGTTCATTTGTATTAAAATTTGGGTATTGTAGGTTAATACTTTAGAACAAAATCTATGAACTCAGCCCTATTAGCCAGCAAACTGTTTGGATTCATTAGTTTTTATGTATTATCAGTAGAATAAATTTTGAAGCGGTTATTTACTACCAGTGACTAAGGGGGATAATTATATTGTCAGTATCATTTGACTTGAACATTTGTGGTATTGTAAAATCTTGTCCATTGTGTTTCTAAATTGCTTAAGCCATACATTCTCTTAAACAAAGATTTTTTTGTTTTGTTTCTTTCCAGCAGCCTTTTCCTGCCTTGTCTGTTATGGTTAATACTTCATAGATTTTAGAAATTGAGAAGTCTTGAAACATTTTATTTTCTTGAGTTCATCACTTTTGATTCGTGTGATATGTGATTTGTCATAAAAGATAGGAAGCCTTTCACTACTTCACTAAAAATGAATTTCAGAGTAAACACTGTGATTCTGCAAAGCGGATTCAGTAGGCTTTCCAATATTTTCTTCTGTTATACAGTGCCTACCACCTTGAGGGCACTTAAATACTAGAGGATGGAAAGTTAAACGTTGTTTGATGTTTATTGAATAATGAGATTACAGAATATTTGATTTTGTCAGTGTATTAAAGGAATTTTTGCAATGATAAATGTTCTCTAGGAATGTGACTACATTCATCAGGTGTGAACTCATGTAAATGAATTTTGTATCTTGAACCCACGTATATATTAAGTGTATCATCAATATAAAAATAAACATTATTTGCTTAAAGTTTTTGGTACTTCAGCATTGTTGACAAATTAAGTGCTACACTGTTAGGGTTTGCTTTTTTCAGATAATACCTCAAAGGCAATAAACTATTTTGGGGTTATGGAGTCAATGCTTATTCTCTTAGTAAATTTGGTTTTTAGTCCTGGTTTTGGTTTTTCCCTGCCCTTGTGGTCAGGACTGGAACACAGCAGAGGGAAGGGTTGTTGAAGAATCAGGTATAATCACCTTACCCTTGGGCTGGTGTTGGGTCTGGGGGCGGGAACTAGAATTCCTTTAACTTGGAATGCCTGGCTTGGCCTTGAGGAGTCCAGAGTCCCGATTTAGGCTTCTAGTTTGCACTGTGACTTTTTTTTTATAGAGACGGGGATCTCGCTCTTGCTCAGGCTGGTCTCCTGACCTCAAGGGATCCTCTGCCTCCCAGAGTGCTAGGATTACAGGCGTGAGCCACCGCGCCCGGCTGCACTGTGACTTTGAATAAAGCAGTTTTTCCTCTTTGGACTTTGTGAAAAGGAGGTGGCCCATTAGTGGACTGTAAAGTTAATAATAGCGGGCAGCCACCAGAGTGTTTTTAAATGAGATGCAATATATCAGAGTGCATTATATTACAAGGATGTGGTTCTGTAAACTTTCTCGGTTGTACATTACATGTGTACTGGGCTGTGACAGATAATACGTATAATCTTCAGTAGGTCATAGGCGCCAAAGTTAAAACACTAGTCACAATGTGCAAGATCCCAGTACTTGTTTCTGGAGCCACTGGCTTCTGTTTCTGTGTAACGAGGAACGAACAGACCTCCCGGGATCACACAGTGACAGGATGGCTGCGTCGGGTAGTCGGGGACAGCGGGATCGGGAGGTGCGGCATGGCCAAGCCGCGCAGCCACTACCTGGGTTTCTTTTTTTTTTTTTTTTTGAGCCCAGCCTACATGGGAGTAGGCCCGGGGCACACCAGCAAAGCACACCGGGGCCCGTGGCAACGACTGGGTTCCTTCCCTTTTGCCACGAGGCTCGTTCCACTTCTCCCGCTCCGTACACGCCCCCGTGGGAGTTGGGGGGGGAAGGAAAAATGACAGACTCGGCGACCCAGTCGTCATCTGCGGCTCTGGCCGCTCGCTGACGTGGCCAGCCAGCCTGAGGGAGCGCCCTACGAGGCGCCCGCGACTCCAGTCGTTCCGGTCCAACCGCCGCCCAGAGGCTCGCGCCGCCGCCGCCGCGCAAATCGCGCGCAGGCGCATGAGCGCGGGGGTCCCACAACCCTGAGCGCAGTCACTTCCGGCGCGCGGGGGATGTGCGGTTCCGGGTCGCTGCTCCGCTTGACTGCCGGCTGTGGGGGCTGGTGACGCGGGCTGGTGCTCACGAGAGGCCCCGGAGGCGGGGCTGTGCCGGCTGCCCGGAGAGCGGCAGGTGCGCGGGCCGGGACTCCGGGAATGCGAGCAGGCCCCTCATTCTCCCGCTGGCCTTGGTCTGTCCCCGAAGCGGCCCGGACGGGCTTGCCCAAGACCCAAGGCGGGGGGCGGTACCGGGGTCCCGTAAGGGCGAATAGGGGCGGAGGCGGGCTGCCCCGGCCTGGGAGTCTGGAGCCTAGGGTTCCAGGATTCCTTCCTGCGCGACCTTGGGGGCTCAGTTTTCCTTCTGTCACATGAAAGAGATGTTGAATCCTTCCATTTCTTTGACTGTCCAAGCACGGGCGGGGCTGGAGGGAATCTTGAGAGTGAGATACAAACTGCCATGGCAGGTACCTGTCTGCCTCCCTGGGCGTTAGGCATCTTGTCTTTTACCCAACTCTGCCTGTCTTTTTCTCAGCAACTGAGTGAGAACCAAGGCTCCGTGACCAGACAGCCCAGGGGCTGGCCACGTAAACAGTCTGTGAGAATCAACTGAGAAATAAATACTACCCCCGGGAAACCTTAATCTCATTCAGATTGTTTTGCTCAGGGTTCCCAAGGAGAGCGAATTTAGGCACCTACTGCAGTGAGCGATTTTATTCTTTGTGCCTGTAAGTGAAGCTCTTAGGCAAATCACAAATTCATAGCAGACCAGAGTTAGATGAGTTCACTGCCAGTTGTTACAGTGACAGGTTTTCTTCCCCCACTTAATTCTCCCTCCCTTCTCTTCCTTTACTTCTGGCCCCTACCTCCAACCGACATTTTGGTCTTACACTTGAAAAGAAATATCCAGCACATTTTATCTTTGTCTTCATGCAGGACAGAATGCTTTGACCTCCAAGCTGTTTTAAATCTAGTAGATAAGCCAGGTGAGTAAGTGGTTTACAAGCATTGAAGGTAAAGTTTTTGAAGGATTGTACAGTCTTAATGGATAATCTGCAGTGGTAAGAAGTCATTCGTGGATCTTAGATAAGAGCTTAGGTATCCTCCACAAAACATAGAAAGTTAAGGTTGGAACCAAGATATTAGTATTTCATACACCTTTGGAAGGAAAACGTATTTGAATCTCATGTTGAATATCAAGACAATGTCAAACATTCTGAAGAAAAGAAATTGTGATTTTAGGTAATTTTATCAAACTCAAAGAAAACCACACAGCATCACCAGGGAAAGTTTAAGGATATCTGATACCTATACGGTACAGTTGTTTGGCTTGCCTGTTTTTTTCTAGGGAACAGGTGATTGCAAACCATCCTGGAACATTAGAATGTTACACCTTTCCCCCATATTGAGTTATATATGTTTTTGCCTTCAACTTTTTTAAAAAAGCACTAAACTGTAGTTCAATTTACAGGGAACCATTTGAAAACATTAAGTCATGATTATGTGATGTTAATGTTTGCCCTGGGAAATTTTACCAAATGTGTTGTGTACTATAGCCAACGTGGTATAATTAAAAAAAAAAAAAAGGGTAAGGATTTGTGAATCACAGACTTCTGTGTTCAAATACCAGCCCTGCCACTTAGCCACGCAATCTTTAGCAGATTACTTCACCTCGTAGAGACTGGATTTCCTCATCCGTATGTGCACATGAAACACTTCAGTGCTTTTTAATTGTTTAGTAATTGTGTTCTATTAAGTGTACACGTAAGTTATGAAACTTAATTTTGAAACTAAAGCTTAACATAGCAACTCAGATGGGAAATCTTTCTAGTGTTTAACTTAGAGCTGTTTCTTTGATCTAATTTATAGATACTATGTTGCCATAAGCCCTTGCCCCACATTTAAGTGGGACTGCAGCTAGCTTGGATGTCTGAAACATTTTAGGCAGCAGTGTCTGAACCCTGGTGCCTGGCCTAAGGACTACTGAGTGCTGGTTATCTGTGCAGGATAGCCACACAGCAAAAATGTTTGCAAAACTAAAGAAGAAAATTGCAGAAGAGACTGCTGTTGCTCAGAGGCCAGGAGGTGCTACTAGGATCCCACGGTCGGTGAGCAAGGAATCTGTTGCCTCTATGGGAGCTGACTCAGGAGATGACTTTGTAAGTATCTTTGTTTTAAAATAATTATGCAAGGTATGCTTTCAATAAATATGTCTTTTAAAATTGCGTGATCGAGGCTGGGAACAGTGGCTCATGCCTGTAATCCTAGCACTCTGGGAGACTGATGTGGAAGGGTTGCTTGAAGTCAGGAGTTCGAGACCAGCCTGAGCAAGAGTGAGACCCCCATCTCTACTAAAAAAAAATAGAAAAAAATTAGGCAGGCATGGTGGCACGTGCCTGTAGTCCCAGCTACTCGGGAAACTGAGGCAGGAGGATCGCTTGAGCCCAGGAGTTTGAGCTTGCTATGAGCTAGGCTGATGCTATGGCACTCCAGCCTGGTCAACAGAGCAAGACTCTGTCTCAAAAAAAAAAAAAAATTTCATGATTGTTTCATACCTTTTGTAGTTTATTTGCTGTGATTCTTCTTACTCTGCTGAAGAATCTGCTTACAGCTGATTCTTCTTACTCTGAGGTACCTTTTGTTAATGTTTGATTTGTTAATCTTAAGGTACTTTATTTTTTTTCCTTATTTTTCTTTGAGTGCCTTTCCATATTCTCTACATTATCCTCTTGTACTGTTTTTCTATCTATATGCCTTGTACATCTTTTACATTTTATCTCTCAAAATGGGCCTGTTTTCTCTGCAGACATATATACTTTAAGTCATTGTTGCTTATCAAGATCTGTGAGTTGTAGTGTGGGGTTAGCCAGAGTGCAGTGTTTTATTGGGAAAGTTGATCAAAAGATGACACCGATGACTACAGTATGCCCCTTATTTGTAAAGTACCTTTGCAGTTGGTAAGATTTTAAAAAATGAGGACATTGCTGTGTTAGGGAAATGTCATGCTTAATGATTAAAGTGTGTCCTTGGCATATGACAGAATCCTCTTAAGTTAGATAAATTTATTTAAAAAGGATTTATAATACTTATATATAAGAATATATGTAACGTATATGTGTGTAAAGTATAAAGTATAATGTGTGTATAAAGTATAAAGCATAAATATATCACCCATCTGAAGAGTTATGAACACTGTTGAAGCCACTTAAGTACTCCTCCCCAATTCCCTCTTTCCCCTCCAGATAACCACTGTCCTAAACTTTGTGGTTATCATTTCCTTGCTTTTTAAAATATCTTACCAAATATGTATGTATTCATAAATAATTTATTGTTTAATACAGCTTATTTTTGAACTTATAAAAATGGCATATCATAGCCTTCTTGGATTTACTTTTTTTTCTAAACTTAACATGTTTCTAAAATGCATCTGTGTTACATGAAGCTGTGGTTCATTTGTTTTTATTGCTGTTAAGTTTCCAGCATTTGTAAAGGCCACAATTTATCTCTGTTGTCTCCTGGTGATAGACATTTGAGCTGTTTCCATGGTCAGATGAGTCTTCCTCCTCCTTTCTTATACTCCCTGAATCTGGGTCAGATTACATGACAGAAGCTATTAGGTTATTTGGGTGGAGCAATAAGATTACTAGATCTAGATTATCATTAGTTCCTATATTTAACAGGAAATATAAGTGCACATTTGAGCACCAGACTGAAGGATATAGTGTTAATACTGAGTTCTGCAGCAGAAGGTCCTGCTTTGCCTTCATGCTGACATGCTAAATGAAGTCTTTCATCTAAAATGTATCGCAGATAGATTGACCTGAATTCAGGAAATACTTTGAGACTTCTCAAGTAATCTATTTGGACTTACTATAGCGTGATCCTCACTCCATATCTCCATACCTTGTATCCAACTGCATATATTTCTCCAAACAGATGCCTTCCCTGTGCAGTACCTGAAATTCTAAATGAACAAAATGGAATTCATGAACTCTGTCTCTAAGTGTGCATCTTCATTCTACCAGGTCATAAGCTAGCAACCATGGAAGCATTTTAGGCTTTTCTCTCCTATTGCTTCTTGGGGTCCAGTCAGTCAGCATGTATTGTGGCTTCCATTTCTCAAATGTCTGTCAAATTCACCTCTCTGCTTCATCTTCTAGTGATACAAGGTTGAGCGTCCCTAATCCGAAAATTTGAAATTTGAAAGGCTCCAAAATCCAAAACTTTGAGCACCAACATGACACAAGTGGAAAATTCCACCCACAAGTACTTAACACCAATTTTGTTTCATGCACAAAATTATTAAAAATATTGTGTAAAATTACCTTTAGAGGCCAGGCACGGTGGCTCACGCCTGTAATCCTAGCTCTCTGGGAGGCCGAGACAGGCGGATTGTTTGAGCTCAGGAGTTCGAAACCAGCCTGAGCAAGAGCGAGACCCCGTCTCTACTAAAAATAGAAAGGAATTAATTGGACAACTAAAAATATATAGAAAAAATTAGCCGGGCACGGTGGCACATGCCTGTAGTCCCAGCTACTCGGGAGGCTGAGGCAGGAGGATCGCTTGAGCCCAGGAGTTTGAGGTTGCTGTGAGCTAGGCTGACGCCATGGCACTCTAGCCCGGACAACACAGTGAGACTCTGTCTCCAAAAAAAAAAATTACCTTTAGGCCTCATACATAAGGTATATATGAAACATAAATCAATTATCTGTTTAAATTTGGGTCCCATCCCCAAGATATCTCATTATATATATGCAAATATTCCAAAATCCAAAATCTGAAACACCTCTGCTCCTGAGCATTTTGGATAAGGAATACTCACCCTATACTTCCATTTTATTTCAGGCTGCCTTTCTTTCTTGGACAAACACAGTAGCCTATTTGGGCTCCCTGTCTGCATAGCTCCCCAAAATTATCTTTCTAAAAGCAGATCTGTTCATGTCTCTCCAATGCTTAAAATTCGATGGTTTCCCCATCACCTTTAGGATGAAGTGCAAACTCATTATCATAGTGTAATGGTAAACTGTCATAGTCTTGTCACAGCTTACCTGCCCAGCTTCATCTCATTCTACTTGCCTACACCCTGTGCTACAGCCAGATTGAATTTATTGCACTTTGTAGAATTGACCACATTCTGTCATACCTACAACTGTTTACATATGCTGTTTCCTCTCTCTAGACTTTCTAGAATGTCTCCTGTCTCCCCCTTTCACTCCTGTACTCCTCTCAACAGACTCTTGTGCATCCTTCAAGACCCTGCTCGCATGTTATTTCCAGGAAGCCCTGTCCACCCAACCTGTCCTTCACACAGCACCCTACTACTTTACCCCTCCTGGCTGTTTGGTGCCGTGACTTCTGCTCACCTCTGTAATAGCACCTGTTATACTGCATTATTACAGATGATTTGCATGTTTGCCTCTTCCACTAAACTGGGAGCTTCATGAAAGTTTGTGTGTTAGGGGTTCTCAAGATCACCCCCAGGTTTGATTATTCACTAGGAGGACTCATAAGACTCAGCATTTAGTTTTCCTCACCACTATCATTTATTAGGTGAAAAGATGCAAAGCATAATCAGTGAAGAGAAAAAGTGCATGGGGCAAAGCTGGGAGGAAACCAGATTGAAGCCTCCAGGATTCTCTCCCAGTGGAGTTATCCACAGGGAGTTATCCACTCCCTACTTAGGAGTAGGATACACTTAATTCCCCCAGCAGTGAGTTGTGACAAAACGTGTAAAATATCTACCAGGGAAGCTCATAAAGACTCAGTGTTCAGGTTTTTGTTGGTACCTCTGCCCAGTATATACCAAAATTCCAGACTCCAGAAGGAAAGCAGGTGTTCCGCATAAACCATATTTTCCACACCAACAATTTAGGCACAGTGAACCATTCTTTGTTCCTAGATGCCAGCCAAGGACCAACCTTACAAGCAGACCTTTCTAAGGATGGTAGTCTCAGGACTACAATGTTAACTCTTTTCTGCATAGCATATAAAGCACATAGCATAGTGCCTGGCTTAGTAAGCATTTCATAATTAGTTGCTACTACTGCTGTTTTATGTAGGAGCTCTTTGTTTCACTACTGTTCCTAGTGCTTAG